ATTTTACAATAATTTGCTACAACACTAGTTTTAGTTTGCATTTTAAAAAAAACTTGAGCTCAATAAAGGGACACAGTGGAACTGAATGTTAGTTGAACATAAAACCATTTTGCTAAAGTGGCAAGCAATCAACAGTTCTCTTGATTGGTATACTAGTTAACAAGTTACACTCACACATATGCTAACAGCATAAATCTTATAATTTTGATCTGAAGGTCAACTATGCTTGATGTTTGTGTTCAAAAATATAGAAGAAAAATAGTTATGAAGAGTGAGTGGATAGCTTTTGAGAAGATTTGTAGCTCACATTGTGGATGAGGCTGTAGACTTGCTCGCTAAGTTGGTGTGTTTGGTTGCAGACGTTTCATCACCCTGCTAGGTAACATCGTCAGCGCGCCTCCGGTGAAGCGTTTGTGTTCTGTCCCGCTTGTTATTCAAATGCCTCAATTTGCAGGGGTGGTTTGCATTACTTCCAGTTCTGTTTCTCAGTGGTTTGTATATCAGGTCCAGTTCAATATGTTTGTTGATGGATATCGAACTGGACCCAATATACAAACCACTGAAAAACAGACCCGGAAATGATGCCAACTACCCCAGCAAACCAAGGCATATAAATAACAAGTGGGACAGAATACCAACGCTTCACCAGAAGTGTACTGACTATGTTACCTAGCAGGGTGATGAAACATCAGCAATCAAACACACCGGCTCAGCGAGCAAGTCTACAGCCTCAGTGAGCGGATAGACTGTAGATAGGGCTGTTTACATTAGAAACCGTCATAACATTTAAGAAACATTTAGATGTACACTTGAGGTGCCAAGGCATACAAGGCTTTGGGACAAGTGCTGCACGATAGGATTAGAATAGTGCAGACTCTGAGCTAGACACCTCTATGACTCAATTATCAATACATTCCATTGCTGTGGTTGGTTCGCTCGCTGAGCTGCATCACTAGTTTACAGACATTTCATTACTCTGCTGGGTAACATCATCAGAGCAGCCTCCAATGAAGCGCTGTTGTGTTTTCCTGCCTGGTATTTAAACTTAGGTCCCTTGGAGTTGATTACCTCATTTCCGGATTTTCTTTGCAGTGGTATGTATGTATAGGGTCTAATTCTACGTGTTTATTGATGGCCTACTTGGTGGAGAATTATCAGGCCTCTAGAAATTCCTGTGCTTGTCTCTGTTTGCATTGTCTTAGGATCCTGGTGTTGTCCCAATCGAACTGGTGGATCTCCTTATCCGTGTGAATGGAGACGAGTGAGTACTGGTCATGTCTTTTTGATGTTGGTTGGTGTTCATGTATTCTTGTGGCCAGTTTCCTTCCTGTCTGTCCAATGTAATGTTTGTTGCAGTCCTTGCATGGGATCTTGTATATCAAGTTGGTTCAGTCCATAGTGGGTAAGGGGTCTTTGGTTCTTGTTAGCAGTTCGTGTAGGGTTGATGTAGGTTTGTGTGCCACTCTGATGCCCAGTGGCCATAGGAGTCTTGAGATCAGTTCAGATATGTTCTTGATGTATGGTAACATAACAAGTGTGTCGGGGCGTACTGTATCTTCCTATTGTTGTTTGTGTGACAGGCATCATCGAACCTATCTGTTCAGGTATCCGTTGTCTCTAAATACTTGGTGGAGGTAATTTTCGTCATTTTGCGTAGTTCTGGGTTGCTGCAGTGTGTTGTGGCTCGTTCAAACAGTGTTTTCACGCAACTCTGTTTGTGGGTGTTGGGGTGATTACTGTTGAAATTTAGGACTTGATCCATGTGTGTGGCCTTTCTGTATACTTTAGTCAGAAATTCCCCGTTGGCCCTGCGTTCTACCGTCACAACCAGGAATGGGAGCTGTTTGTTCTGTTCTTCTTCTCTGGTGAATTTGATGCAGGTGAAAATGTTGTTTATAAGTTGGTGTGTTTCTGCTAGTTCAGTCCATTTGATGATGATAAAATTGTATTGGATCCATAGTTTGGGTTGGATCTGCAGAAGGGCCATGCTTTCAAGTCTCTGCATCACTGCTTCTGCTATTAGTCTGGAGATGGGAGACCGCATAGATGTCCCATTGATTTGTCCATAAATCTGGCCATTAAAATTAAAGTGGGTCATGAGGCTCATGTCCAGTAATTTCAGCATGTTGCCTGTGGAGATGGTGTTACTCGGGTCTGGTTCTTTCAGTAGTGTTGCTAGTGTTTCTGTTGCTAGTGATATGTCGATCGATGTGAAAGGGCAGTAATGTCAAAGGATACCATGGTCTCGTCCTCATCCATTCTTGTGTCTTTGAGGATTTTGAGGAACTCCTGGGCTGAGTGGATTGAGTGGGTTGAGTTGTTGATGAGGTGCTTTAGTCTTCATTGTAATTCCTTGGCTAACCTGTGTGTTGGTGTGCCTGAGAGAGAGACTGTGGTCTGAGGGGTAGTTCCGGTTTGTGTACCTTTTGGGAGGCAGTAGAATCGGGGAGTGTTTGTCCTTTCAGGTTTCATTTGTAGGTAGTCTGCTTTGTTGATTTGTCTGGTCTGTTTGAGTCTCTTTAGTGTGTAGATGATTTTGTTTCCCAGTTGCCGTGTCGGGTCTGTTTCCACTTGTCAGTATGTATTTGTGTCCATGAGTAGTGTCTGTGCTTTAGTATTTGTTTGTTAAGTATTACTGTCATGCCCCCTTTGTCCGCTGGTAGGATTATGATATTTTTGCCTTTTTAGAGTCCTTCTGGGGTCTTCCTTTCTGATGTGTTGAGAGGGTTAAGATCGTTCCTTCTGGTCAGTGTCGGGACCACTATCTGTCATATGGCTTGTTGTGTTTCCTCATTGATGCCATTGGTGTTCAGTGTGGATTCTGGTAGTAGCTAGGAATTCTGTCCTGTTAGCGTCTCGGTGGTTGTAATCGAGTCCATGTTTTGGTATAACTTTCTCTGTGTCTGTTAGTTTTCTGTCAGATAGGTTTCTTATCCAAGTGTCTGATCTTTGGCTGTCATTTTGGTGGGTTAGTTTGACTAGTTTTTCATGTAGGATTTGTCGTTTCTTCGTTTTGGTTTTTTGTGACTGATGTTAATGGCTTGTGCTAAGTCTGTTGTCAGCTGTAGGTTGGTTGTGTCTAGTATAGGGATTTTTGGCGCGTAACTTCCCTGTCATATCTGTGGAGCCGGTTGTGAGCGACATTTATCATTATCTTCACCGTTCTGCTGCCTTTGTGCCTGTGGGTTGTTGATGGGAGGTTTGTATCTAACACTGTGCAGTAATACCTGATTCCTGAGGCATCTGTGTAGGAAGTAGAGTTGCTTGCAGGTAGCGCTCTGTCATTTGATGTATGTTTCCCATTTCCAGGCCAGTTTGAGTGTGTTGCGCCTGCAGGTGTCTAAGATTCTTGAATAGATTTGTAGCTCGGGTTGTGGATGCTGTGGTTGGTTCGATTGCCAAGCTGGTTCGTTAGTTTGCAGACGTTTCATTATCCTGCTGGGTAACATCATCTGTGCATCCTCCAATGAAGTGTTGTTTTGTATTCCTGCGTGTTATTTAAACTCTGGGATCCTTTGGAGTTGATTACCTCATTTCCGGTTTTTCTTTGCAGTGGCATCACACAAACAACAATAGGAAGATAACAGTACACCCTGACACAATTGTCACATTACCGTACATCAAGAACATATCTGAACTGACCACAAAACTGCTATGGCCACTGGGCATCAGAGTAGCACACAAACCTACATCACCCCTACGCGAACTGCTAACAAGAACCAAAGATCCCTTACCCACTATGGACAGAACCAATGTAATATACTAGATTCTATGCAAGGACTGCGATAAACGTTACATTGGACATTCAGGAAGGAAACTGGCTACGAGAAAACATGACTACCAACTAACAACAAAAAGACAAGACCAATACTCACTCGTCTCCATACACACAGACAAGGAGAACCACCAGTTCGAGTGGGACAACATCAGGATCCTAGGACAGGCCAAACAGAGACAAGCACGGGAATTTCTAGAGGCCTGGTTCTTCACCAAGAAGGCCATAAATAAACACGTAGAATTAGATCCTATATACACACCACTGTGAAGAAAAACCGGAAATGTTGTAATCAACTCCAACGGACTCTAGAGTTTAAATAATAAGCAGAAAACACAACAACGCTTCATCGGAGGCTACACTGATGAAGTTACCCAGCAGCATAGTGAAATGTCTGCAAACTAAAGAACCAGCTTGATGAGCGAACCAACCACAGCATCCACAACATTGAGCTACAAATCTATTCAAGAACCTTAAATACATTCCGTTGATCAGAATTGTCTATGCTATAAGTGTACAAATACATTGCCAATGGACTGCAGAGAGCCCAATTTTCTACAAATGCCAAGAGGTTTGGTCATGAATGAAAGACAGGTGGCACTGTTGCACTGTTTACTATTTGGTTTCTTAGAATTTCACTGGAATTGCAAACATCATTTACCGTGGGTTGTGCTAAAATTATAAAGATATATCCTAGGCAGTGAAATACTAATCACTCGAGTTGGCTGTCAGAATAACCCCAACATTAAAGCTGCTCACTGGTATTTTTGAATTAATATTACAGGAACAGGCAAGAGACAAACATGATTAAACACAAATACCCAAAAGATGATGCCTGGTTGCATTGCTCTACCATTAGCCTCCCAAAGAATCTCACTGCCTGCCTCACCTTTGAAATGGATCCAATGGCATGAAGTTATTGAGTTTGTGATAGATAAAAAATTATACTTGCTACATTTCCAACACAATATTAAAGAAATGGTATCATTACAGTTATGGTATTTAACTAGTAACCCAGAAGAGTGGATTAGTCCCAGAGAATCACTGTCTCATTAGAGAGAGATGTTTGGTTGGTGGTTTAACCTGAGGGTCTTCATAACTCAGGCCTGGAGTGGGGTTGAGAAGCACCTTCATGGTAGCCTCCGCTGGTGTGTGAATTTAAACTATGCCATAGGTTTCATTCTGCATCACAAACTCTTTCCAGCCAACTGAGCTGACTTACCCCCCAAAATGAGCATGAGCGCAGTCCCTCACTTCCACAAATTTTGCAGTCAAGTATTTTGCACTTATGGACATTGGCTTTGTTGATGCCTGCAAAGTGCAAAGGGGTAGCCTCAACCTGAGAGAACCACCTTCATCATAATGGTCTCTCCATGAAACTGCCAAAATTTAGTTGTGTCAGTAAGACAGTCACTTTATGTGACTTCACATCCCAGTGCTGTGGTAGATTCTAAACTGCCCTCTGAAATGACAAGCCACACAGTCATACTCAAGAAGTTACTTCATCACCATCCTTTCAAGAACAGTTAAAGAAAAGCAATAAAAGCAGGCCTTACTACTGATGCCTACATCCTGTGAATGAATTTTAAAAAGTGCCATTTTAATACTATGATAATTGTTAAGGACCATTATGTATTGAGCCAGACACAGGTATTAGGAGCACAGTTTGGAAGTTTACAGCTAACGCCAAACCTGGCAACATTGTAAGTGGTGAGCAGGACAGTAGCCAATCTCAAGAAGGTATAGACAGACCAGGAAATTAAACAAACACTTGACCAATGCAGCTTAATGCAGGTAGGTGCAAAACGATGGAGCCTGGGAGAATAAACGTAGTGAAGTACTATAATCTAAATGGCACTATTTCAAGGATAAGAAAGAGCAGAGGGACCTGGAAGTGTACATTAGAAATATAGAAAGATTAATGATACAGAAAAGGGTCAGGCAATATATCAGGTGGACTCCAGCTGTAGCAATTAAAGGATCTGGTTGGAGAACTGGTAGGAACCCCATGTCACCTTTCCATGGGAAGTCAAATGCTGTTTCAGTACAATCAGGCACTTACCTGGACAGCATTGGGCCAGGTAATGAATTAATGAATTAAATCCCATCCTGAGAGCAGTCAGCTAGTCAGAGGCCAACAGGCCTCCAAAACCACTAGGAACAGTGGTCACTGCCAGTATTGCATTTGGACCTCAAGTGGAGAGGATCCTCTGGCATAGGGTAAGTGAGGCTGAAATGGTGTTCCCTGGAGGGAAGTTTACTAGGAAGGGTGGGGAGATAGCAAGTTAGGGATTGGATTCCTTTAGGGACCCCTTCCAGATGCCAGGTCTCTCAGTTAGAGGCAGATTTTCATTTGTTTGGATTGAAATGGAATCATCTACAAAAGTCTACCCTAGTCTACTGCAATCTAGTCACCTTGACTATGAAGCGTATACCCTGTAGCCGGACATCCTGAACTTCACCTCAATAAAGTCCTTGTGGTGAACGCCATGCTGTCCTGTTTCCTCAAAATCTAGTGTCAGAAACGGCACTGAAATAAAAAGCATGACTGTGAGCTGTCACTAAAAAACAGAAATAAACCCACAAAAAATCCCAATTAAACCACTGCTTAAGAGAAAATAACTGCAGCTGTTCCCTCTTTTCAAATCACTGGAAATATGAGCAAGCAGTTCTTCCATGAACAATGACAGAATTAAGCAATAGCTACAGATTGTTGAGCAAATCAGAACAAGTACAAGTCACTAGACTTTTATCACTGTTGGGAAGAAACTGTTTCAAAATGAATTTCATCCCAAATCTCTCTGAAGAGCAGTAAAAAAAAAATACATAGCAGGAATGTTTCAAGTTATATCCAAGTGAGCATTACATATGAACAGCACCTGTTAACTACTAGGGAACTAAGTGAAAAAGAGTCCATTTAATCACTGTGTTACAACATTAACTCAGTTCATAGAAATCTGTCAACCTGTGCATATAATAGATGAACCAATTAGAGACAGGATTGTATTATTAATAAGGGATCTAAAAGTGAATTCATGCCTACTGAGTGAAGACAAACTTAGACTCAACAGAGCAATTGAATATGCAGAAGTGCCAAGGTCATAAATCTACAGCTACAGCATATTCACGGCACTACAGATCAGGTCTTGTTTTATGCTGCCAGGTATCTGGCCAGGCACACAGAGCAGAACAATCACAGATTAAGCCAAAATGCAGACACTACAGAAAACCTCAAAAGAGAGGAAGGTATGCCCAATGTGGGGAAAACTAATGTTCTCAATGAAAAGTGCTGGATCATATTGTATTGATAGAAGGAAGCATAACAAGCAAGCACAGATGGACATTGAAGAATAATGGCTGAAGATTGTGATGGATCACTATACACCATATAATGAGTTTGATCAGTCAAGTTGATAAGTGAGGCATAGTTTGTTTTGTGACCATTGGAATGAAGACTGCAGAAGAAAAACATCAAGTCAACCTAAATTGTCGGATAGACTCAGTATGCCATGCAACATCATGACCCTTACAGACCTGTGCAACGTGTCTCAATATGGCAATCTAAAAATGAAGCCCTCGAAAATAAAGTAAGACTAAATGATGGCACCATCATCATGCTGAGAGGACAGATTACTCTGCAAGTCCATTGCAATAACATGAATGAGGATCTGGAGGCCCAGATCATAGATGGCAAGCAAATGTTGCTCAGCTCAGCCAGAGTGAGTCTAATCCTTGGGCTGGTAATTCTTAAAGTGCTAAAAGAGATTTGCAAAAGGTGACAGCACATTAAACCATTGATTTCAGTAATGTATATATTGACATGATCAGCCAGGTAAGGAAAGTGGCAAATGGTGTGTACAACATAGTCATGTGTTCACAATTGAAGTGAAGCTTAAGATGTCTTCCTGCGGGATTTGTGTGTCTTGGTAGAGGTGACATGACTACAACAGACTAAGACATACAATTGTACTTCTACATTTAATTCAAACATTCTCCTTTTGATTCAAAAAGGTATGCCCAATCATATACATTTTCTGTCATCCAACTATATACAGTTATGTTTTCATGCCTTCTTTATTTCCGTCACTGTCTGCCTACGCGTTGTATGCAGTTTTTAAATCGCACTGGTGTCTTATCGAAACTTGTGCATGCTTTTGTCTATGGCTGTTCATCTGGCAGATATTGTTTCTCCAGAAAGTGTTGTTTTCGTGTCATTTGTTGTTGCTGTGGTAACCATTGTTATTCTATTGTTTATGTATTTGTTATTCTATTTCTGTTGTTGTTGTTTTGATTTGGGTTGCTGTGGACCTCTGGATCTGATGGTTGGTGTACGATCTGTGTAGATGGTGTGTTCAATCCTGCCTGCAATTGAGGACTAGCTCCTGTAGTTGGGATTTGTGCCTGTGGTTGTGACAGCATATCTGCTCATTCACTTCCACTGTAAACAGCCAAGGTAGTCATTGCTTCACATAAGTCTTAGTTGCCATTTGGGCTTGCTTTTGTTGAAATTGTGGAATGTTTGCATTTAGCGATTTCATTTTTCGTTTCAATGTTGCAATTAAATTTCGCTTTCCATCATTTCATCTTGATTTTCTTATTCATACATGTTACTGAGCCTGGCTCCAGTAGCTTTTTTGCTATCGTCAGAGTAATTTATGTGTGGGGTGACATTAGTCTTTGTACTTGACTACTTTCTAGCACTAATTTACCTTCAAGTGCTGCTTCTGGTTCCATGTTTGCCAAATTATATCTCAGCTTTATCTTTTCCTAATTTAAAATCTTTTGCTCCTGATATATCTTTATTCTTGTCCGTAACAATGCTAAGCAGGGTGGCACGGTGGCTCAGTAGTTAGCACTGCTGCCTCACAGTGCCAGGGGATCTGGGTTTGATTCCACCCTCAGGTGGCTGTCTGTGTGGAGTTTGTACATTCTCCCCATGTCTGTGTGGGTTTCCTCCAGGTGCTCTGGTTTCCTCCCACAGTCCATAGATGTGCAGGTAAGGTAGATTTGCCTTACTAAATTGCCCTTGGTGTCCAGGGATGTGCAGGCCAGGTGTATTAGCCATGGGAAATGCAGAGTTAACGAGAAGAGATTGGGTCTGGGTGGGCTGCTCTTTGGAGTGTCAGTGTGGACTTGATGGGCCAAATGGCCTGCTTCCACACTGTAAGGATTCTATAACTGAATTATGATCACTCCCACCACAGAACTGTGCTGTCCCTCTGATAATCCATCCACCTGTCCAATTTTTTTTTCTCAAATTCAGTCCAGAACCACTCTTGCTCTTGTTGAACTTTCTACTTATTGGCAAAAATAAATTTCTCCTGAATGTATTATAAGAATTCTGTGCCTTCTACATCTATAACAATGGCTTATCCTAGATAATATTAAGATACTTGAAATTCTTCGCTTTTACTGCCTTTTTTCGTTTTGGGACGTTCCATCAATTTGCTTACATTGCTCTTTTGTTTTGCTCTGACTGTTTGGGGTCAATGATAGATTCTCAGTCGTGTGAGTAGCTTTTTAGTGATCATCAGTTCAACCCATATGGCTTTATTGACTTTCCTTCTGGAATTTCATACCTCCTTACAACTTTCTTTAAGCAGAACCATGACAGTCTCTCCTTTTTATCTCTCTTTATCGTATTTGAAATCATGTAACCAGGATGGTAAACTGCTTTCCCTGCCCTTCTTTAATTTCAATAATATCTATGATATCAGTCTTCCATGTGTCTATCTGTACCCGCAACTCATCTTCCCTGCCACCGAAAATCTGTGAATAGCTGTGAACAAGGTAAATGAGCTGTGGGTACAGAAATTCAGCACCCGTAACAAAGGAGTCATCCTAAACTTTTACAAATGTTTACTTAGGGCCTCAGTTAAAGATTTTTTTGTCCAATTCCAGCACCAGATGGAAGCAGGGAGGTTTACCTAAATAACTCAAGGTTTGAGGAAGTTCAATTATGTGGAGAGATCACAGGATCTGGGATTATTTTTCTTCAGGGAAAGTTAAGGCACTCTTAATAAAGCTATCAAAATTATGAAGTGTTTTGATAAAAGAATGCAGAGATAAATTATTTCTCAAACAAACAGAGCAGCAAACAAAAGCTAAAGATTTAAATATTTGGCAAAAGTACTGTTTGAAAAAAAGGGGAAATTTCTTCATGCAGAGAGCATTTAAGATGTATTAAGTACTATTTGACAGGGTTGTGAATCAGCTTCCTTAAAAGTTTTCAAAAGAAAATGACACGGGTTATTAAAGAGGAATAATTTTCAGGGTTATACAGGGAAAACTGAGACATGAAACTAAATTGGACAGCTCTTTCAGGGAGCCAGCGCAGACTGGACAAGCCGAAAGACCCCTTCTATGTTAAGACATTCTATGCTCCTACAAC